TCATGCCTCAGCTTCCTGAGTGCTGGCAGGACAGGCATACGCCACCATGCTCAGCTGTGATATAGGAACTTGTCCCCAGCTCTACACCTATTTTTAGAATGAATCATACTACAGGGAGAGTATAACCCAATAGTCATAACAAAAGTATTAAGTATATTTTAAATTAATAGATAAGGAGGATGGAAAGTGAAATAAGAGGAAAAAACAGAGAGGGCAACAATAATGGAGTTCATTATTAGTAATATTCTCCCATAAATTTCAATGTAAATAATTAAATTTAATAGGTTCTCAGATCAACTATTTTCTATGACTTGTTTTTAAACAAAGTCAAAACAGTAAAAGTGTCTCACTATGTCCACGAAGTAGAATTTTATTAAATTTTTCATTTTTAAATAAAGGAAACATTTATGGCTAATTTTTTCTTATTTAAATTAGCAAATGAATAATTATTTTGATCTCATTTAAAATGCAGCAAATTGTATTACTTCTCAGTGATAAGCAACTTATTCATTAATGGACCATATCTACAAATTTAGAAATCCATAATTTTACAGGTCAACAATTACTAGGTCAATAACTAATTCAGTGTGATATTTTAAAAAGCATCATTCTAAAAAGTCATGAAATATGACTTAAATGCTTTAAAACTGAAAGTGACTAATCTAATTTTTATATTAGTTGAAATTTCTCTAATCCACTTTCAATTTTCTGTATATCTGGTAGAATGTTAAAATATTCTAGGCAAATGATAACCTAAAGAAGGGAATTTATATGTCTTAAATAATTATGTATCATGATTGCTGGTAAAAAACAAGTTTCCTAAAAAAATGAATAAAATATAAAGAGTCCTAAAGTTATTCAACATAGATTTCAATATTAAAAGCAAAACAAGGGCTGGTGAGCTAGCTCAACAGCCTAAAGCGTCTGCTTGGGCAAGCTTAGGCAAGTTTGCAGGGACTGAGGTTCAATCCCCAGCAGTCTGACCTGGACACACAAAAAAAATTAAAAGCAAAATAAAATGCTTAAAATTCATTAAAATGTACTCTATATTAATGATAAAACAAAAAATATTATGCTAGCATTTCACAAAAAAGAAAAGTATGTCCAAAATTGCACCACAGGTAGAATTTTATAATTTAAGACTTTCATAGAGACATCACTAGTAATACTACTAAACTAAAGGGTTTTTAAAGTATCAAATGCATTGTAGTTAAGAAGACATACGATTCTAAAAATCTGAATTATAGAAGAGCCTGTATTTATTCTAAAGTAAGACTTAACAGATGGTCATTTCTAAGATATTGGAAGAAAACCACTGCTTGTGGTACTATTAACACTACTGCAAACACTTGGATATATTCTTTTACTTTCTAGGTATGTACATATGTAATGAGATTTAAGTATATAAATCTGAACTTAGATATAAATTAATATAGTATAATTACAATAATAACATATAGAAGGTATAATTTTGCCTTCTATAATATTATTTATTTTTAAATGTGGAGTCCTGGACCCCACTTCACATTTATAAGTCAGAATCCCTAGAGATGGAGCTTTGAGCACACTTGACTGCATTTATTTATTTATTTATTTATTATTTAATTGATTGATTTTTTTGGCCAGCTCAGACCACCCTAGGGGTGGGGCTAGTGTGTCATGTGGTGCCAGGGCAGTCCCTGGGCTTTGCCTAAACTTGCCTAAGCAGGCGCTTTAGATGGCTGAGTTCTCTCACCAACCTGTTGATTTATTTTTATGTATTTCAGTACAGGGATTACAGGGTCTAAGTACACAGATTGGACTCATAGTGATCCTCCTGCTTTCAGCCTCACAAGCGCTGGGATTACAGGAGGGTACCATCATGCTCAGTCTCAGTCACCATCTCAACATGCCCCAGGGATGGGGCTGACATGGCACCCCAGGGATTGAACCCTGATCCCTGTGATAAGGAGGCGCTTTAGTCTACTCAGCTACTTGGCCGGCCCCATAACAGCATTTTATAGGAAAAATGTCTTAACTTAATTATCGTCTTCATATTCAAGTTGTTTTTATATCAGAAACTGTAAGGATAATATAAAAGCCTAATGTGTTTTTAAGGAAACATATGAATTTGTCTAAATAGTCAGGAATAACAGCTATATATACCACAAGATTTTAGTGATACTAGCATTAAAGTCTTCATAAATTGCTATTAACATGAAATGTACTTGTTTTCAGAATTGCTTCTGGTTTACAAGGTCAAGTAATAGCTGAATATTAAATTTTGTTCAAGGAACCACTCAAGAATAGAAAAACATGTTCATTTCTAATCAATACACTGGGCTCCCAATCTAGCCTCCTAATGTTAGAACTACATAAATCAACAAAAGGGAAATAGTACATAATTTAAATTTTTTCAGAACAAAATTTAATTAATAGCAGTGTTTTTTCTATTTTCTCTTTCCCATGTAAGATTTAGCTACTTTTTCTAAATAGACATGGGAAGTCATAAATGGTACCCCCTTTCTCTGTCTAAGAATTTTGTCTCAGTTTTATATTTTGTTATAAAATGTAAAATGAAATGACAATGTGAAAAAGCCTTTTTGTCAAAAATAAGAAAACAGTATTGTACACAGAGTGAAAGGCTTATAAAAAGCAAGCGTATGACGTTAGAGTCAACAGCGCCTTTTCTCTCCATGTTCAACCTTTCCACATAAAGTGAGAACAAGTGTTCACTAAGCTCACTAGTGGAAAAAAAAAACCCATGATGTAGTGGCAGCAATTAACTTAGGAAAATGAGCCAAGATTTCATTTATAATCCTTTGTATATTGAAAAAAAATAGCATAAACCTCATACTTGTAGCTTCTACTAACTTATTCTTAATTACATACATGCCTTAGTCTTCTTGAGTTTATCCCTAGAGTTTTCAGGGAGGAAAAAATGTCCACTTTTTTTATTTTGAAAGCAAAATTGTACTTTAAAAGGAGATTTTTCATCATCCATTATTCAATATTCAATAAAAATAAATAAAAGGAAAACTTCAAAGAAGACCTGAACAGCTGTTTACAAGTTTTTATAAAACTAATAGTGGTAGATATAAGGAGGAGGAGAGGGAACCAGGAAGTAAAAGGACCAAAATGTGACATGTACATTTACCCATGATGAATATATTCACTGTGGGTCAAAAATACACACTAATAAAAACTTTCAATGACAATGAAAAGTAATTTTTAAAAACCTAATGTGTTGAAATATTACTAACCATGATAGAAATTATTTAGATTCTTAGGAAAAAATTAGCTAAACTACAAACAAGGTTAAAAATAAAAAGTACTGAGGTCTAACTATTTAAGTAGCTACATCTATTTTAATATTTTAATAAGATTATAAAATTAAAAAACATAAAAGAAATTACAGTTCAAAAAATTCTGTGTAATAATAAGAACAAATCTGTAAGATACTTATCATCTTGCATCAGATTAGGAAAATAGTTACTAAATAATACGAAGGTGGTTTAAAGAAATCCATAAAGTTTCAAGTATAACATCACATTCATTATTAAACCAGATAAATTAATAAACATATAAAGGTATCTGGATAGTGGCCAGTAAGACAGCTCAGCGGTTTACAGCGCCTGCTTAGGCAAGCTTAGGGAAGCAAACATGGACCACTGTTTGATCCCCAGCACCACATACCATGCCAGCCCTGCTCCCAGGGTGGGCTGAGCAGGCCACAATAAATAAATAAATTAATTAATTAATCAATTAACTTTAAAAAATAAAACAAATATGCAATCTGTAATAAAAACTTTTTAAAAAGAACTTAAAAAAAGATATCTGGATAAGTCCAGGTTATAAAAAGTACAGAGTTTCAGCCAAACTAATAATATTCCAAATATTCTTACTTAATGCCAGGAGCCAATTTAAGTTTCTAGAAGATAATGTTTCAAAAAGTAAGCAATTCCTAAATGTGTTCTTCAAAAAAAGAAGTACTGGATTTCTTTATAAGTCCAATAAGTATGTGATAAATATAATCCAATACTTAACATATTCTATCCCTTTCTATAGAAGTTTGGAAGAGCCAAATTATTTATTTTAAAAGATGGCATAAAATTGTTACACATACACTATAACATGAAGACGTACTATCAAAAGTGATAAACATTTTTCACTTCTATAAATACATTATAAAAATATGCATGTAACTAGATACACTAAAGTCAAAAGTCCAACAATTGATAAAATGACAATGACATATGTATGTCATGATCTAATGTCCATTCTTGCTTCACTTCATACTTTGAACTTTCATAATTATTTTTGCTTGTAAAAAACAAGATTCCTAAAAAAATGAATAAAATAAGGAGTCTTAAAGTTATTTAACATAAGCTTCAATATTTAAAACAAAATAAAATCACTTAAAAATCATTAAAATATATTCTATATTAATGATAAAACAAAAATATTGCCCTAGCATTTTGCAAAAAGAAAGAATAGCTAAAACTGGAGCACAGGTAAAATTCTATAACCTTGGTCTTTCAGAGGGAAGTGACTGGAATATTCTAAGACTTTTTTTTTTTTTTTTGCGGAACCGGGGATTGAACTCAGATCCTTGCGTTTGCCACTCAAGCACTTATCCTACTGAGCCATCTCCCCGGCCCTATCCTAAGGCATTTTAAAATGTAGCAACATTGTTATTACCATACAACCTAGGCTGTTAAGCTTAAACTCACTGTCTGAATATCAAACATCTTAGGCATAACATGGAACAGGTATTTTTCATCAAGTATTGATATGCTGAACTTTAAGTCCCTACAGAATATGAAAAAACATTTAAAAATTAGAATATATTTTAAAAATAGGCATAAAGAATTATATAATTCTTATGTTTACACATAAGTCCAGAAATCTCCACAATCTGAGGTACAGGATCTCAGGATAAATCCTGAGCATATTTCACTGACCTTATCAGATCCAAAAGTTACAACTCTTGTTGCATAGGTCTTGCTTTATCTTGGTCTTAACCATCCAGCAGAAAAGTATAAAAATGAAGTATAAGAAGTAAAGCCATGCTGTTATGTTGAGCTGTAGGGGACTCTGATCAACAATTTCTGACACTGCCAGTGAAGTGGAAGCCCCAATGCTATTATGGACTACTGGACTCTTTTAGAATATTTTGCTGAGCTAACACACCTATAATACTCAAATGACAGAACTAAACAAAAAAGGGGATATATAAATAAATGTCCATTTTGTATCTGTGTATTCAAAATGGTTAGGATAGATACATAGTTACATTCTCTTAATGAATAGAAGGATTTGTTGTAATAGAGTTTGTAAATAGGATATCATGTCCACATCTTGTACAGCAAATAACCACTAGGAAGAATGTATGCAATGTGTTAATTATTGAAACTGTCCTACCAATTTGGTTTGAAACTGTCTCATCGCTATTTGTTTATCAATAAAATTATGGAAAAAAATAAAATAAAATGTAACAACAGACTCTTCTTCAATAAAGTATCAATGATGTATCAATGTCAGCAACCAATGAGGAATTCGCTCTAATGTATAACCTGCTTATTAAAAATTAAGCTAAGGTATTTATCTTCACAATCAGCAAAAAGAGAAGTATTTGAGTAAAATGAAATCAGCAAACACAGATGCCATTCAATTGATCCAAATTTTGTGTTTTAATACAAGTCTTTTGTTTACTTTTTAGATGTTAATCTTAGTTCTCTCTGATTTCAAGTTCAAGGTGTTCAAAGTTCCAGGATTTTCAGTAAAATGAAACTCTGACAACCATTAGTTTAGGATTATGTGATAACAATGTAAGAAAATGAATAAACTGTACATCCTCAAACAGGACTGAAAACTAAACCAAAAAGGAGCTGTATTCTAATAAAAGATGTGGTAAAACTAAGTACGGAATCTTTGACTTTCATAATATAGTCCTGAAAAAGAGAAATAAAAAATCTTAAGTTGCCATAAAGAAAAGTGGTTCATGAAGAATTTAAATTTTTAGCAGTTAATACTTATCATGTTTCTACCAAATATAACCTATTTTCAAGGGCTTCGTGCTATTAAAAGTGATCTTTTGTACACTGATTTAAATGAAATTATTTCAATTTTACCTTTTGAAAAATAACTAAGTAGGTCCTAAACATGAAATTTGTCACTGCTTAATTTTATTGATGAGATGATTTCATCACTATCTCGCGCCTGAAAGATACTCACCTCCAGGAGGCTGGCGTGTACTCCAATCAGGTACGGCATTGGGGCACTAGAGCAAAAAAACACATAAATATTTATAGGTTCATATAGTTCATTAAAAGTGAAATAATAACATAAGTAGCTGAAATACTTAAAAAATAAATCTATTTAAAGCTCAGTTCCAGCATACCATAAAATATTCAAAATTATAGATATTCAAATTTAATCCTAAAGACCATTATAATAAAGTTGTTTAATATTTAAAAACTCACAAATAATTTATGATGAAATCAAGAGTTTTAACACCTAAAAAACATTTCTTATCTAAGAAAAATAGCAGGATCTATGCCATAATCTGAGTTAAATCTTTTCCATATACTTTTCAGTAAATATATCCTAAGCAATCATTAAATTTATTGGTATTTATTATGCACATCTTTTCTCATTCAATTACACTCTTATTTTAAAGATTTTCTCAATATAAGTTCATTATTTTATAGTTACAATAACATGCTATATTTATTAAGCTAGTCACCAAATAGCCATTATTGCATGCAAGGCACTCTGTTGAACCAGACATGGAAACACAAAAGTTCCTCCATTACTCTTACATACTCTTATAATTTCCTCTTACATACATACGTAATCTTTTATTTCAGCTTTAAAATCCAGATTCATTCTATTTCACTGAGATTAATAAAAAAATTTAAAATATTTGTGTAAGAATTATATGAATTAATTCAAAACTTGATACTTAGAACATATGCATGCCAGGCACTGGGATATGGTTTTGGGAAGAATAATTAACAATACAGATAGGATATAACTCCTAGTTATATAACTCCTATTCAGGATATTAGACACACACAAGTTTTATAATACAGAGTTCATCTACTCTAGTATATAATATATACATTGAGTAATATGTACATTAAGTAATTCAAGTATATGAAATATGAATTACTAGTAAGTTTAGCAATATCTTCTAGGAAATTATTCAACCTAGTGTTTCAAACTAAACTATTATCTACTAGGATAAGATGAGAATGGACAGATGTCTACAAAGGTGACAGATGATACGTGAACAAATAGCTATTTAAAATTAAACACTTTTGGCAATTCTTTTATAGACATCCTTGTTTATTACTGCAAACCTTTTCTATTAATGCAGAGAGATAATCCTCTTTCTCAACAGATTTGCATAATTTTCTAAACATCATTGTCATTATTAAAACAGAGCTGCCAAACTCTTGTATGTTCAATTTGCTACTGAGAACTACCAACAGATAAAACTAGCAAACACCTTGAGCAATCTACAGATTTCAAAGTAATGTCAAAAAGTATTGAAATTATTCAAGGATAGTTAAACAATAACCCATATATCTAGAACAAAAATGTTCATTAGTCTGTACATTTTAGTTTATTACTTGTTATTGCACTAAATTTTAATCCCCAGTAGTCTTTACCTCTGCTCCTTCCTATTCTTTAATTTTTATGCAACAATCTGGAATTAATCTGATATTCTGGATACCTGACTAAAAGTTAAGGTGTATTTATAGGCTTTGATATCAATAAGACCTAACAGCAGGAGCAAATGTGGGTTGTTACAGCTTTGTTTAGTAAGGAAAGGCTGGTTCCTTTCCTAGTTCAAGGTCTTATCCTGGGATTCCTTCTGGGATTCCAGAGAAGACATAAAATGCTTATCACTATTCTGTTCTCCCACTGCCAGGTTTGGGCAATTTTCACAAAACAAGTTAGGCAACTCCCAGGGTCTTAAATATGTCAAGCCCTCCAAACATCCAAAATAGTATAAAATTATTCAAGTTACTGTGGGAACCTCTCGTTTACACCTAGTTAGGATATTACACACACATGAGTTTTATAATACAGAGTTCATTGTATCTCAAATTCCAAAGCATTTATATGAGTGTTAACCAAAATATACCAAGCTTCTAAAAATAATTACCATGTCCACCTTAATGATGTCAAAGGGATGTTACAGATCGAAATTTCAAAAATAAGCACAAAAATTGCTGAAAGTTTGAAATCCTAGAAAACACTAACAGAAACACCTTTAAAAGTTTATGAAAGTCACCTATCTTTTGAAATGTAAATAAAGAGCTTATACAAATTCTTAAGCTAGAATTTGAAATTCAAGATAAAGTTACTATGCAGACTTTAATAATAAATTAACTGGAAAAAATGTTTAATGGAATCACTATGTCTATGTAGTATTTTTTCTCACAGATTTCTCACAAAATCCAACATATAAATGTCTGAAGTACAAATATTATTTATCTATGGCAAAACTGTCTAAAATAATTATACTTTACAGAATATATAGTGAATTGTATAGGTATCATTTTTTCACACTGGATTGTGTATACTCTATCATAAAATATGCAAAATCTCATGAAAATTAATTTTGCAACCCCAGCTAAAATTCCTTAGTTAGATTATAGTGTAAATAAATCAGCAAGAGACTCCTGACAACACGGATGTTTTATCACCCATGTACAAAACTGCCGTAGCTCTTCCTATCAGTAAAGTTATTTTCTTAAGATGGGATACAGAAGTCTCTGTTATGACTGCTGCTTCTTCTTGGTAGCAATTAATCTTTATTCAATAGAGTATTTTTTTCAAGTTTTCTTACAGAGAGACTCCCTGTGACAGAGACTGTAAGAACAATCTATTAGAGCAGTCTGGGATCATAATTTTCCAAAAACCTGTTCTTAAAGCCTAAATCTGATTGTGTCATAGAAAGATAAGTCGATATATACACCAAATAAAAAGACTGATGTAACCATTCCCTGAACAAATAATAATCTATTGTAATTTTCCTGACCCTGCAGTCATACCACCTCCTATGTGTCTATGGATTCAGACAGCTGAACAGTGCCTGGCAAACTCACAGACTTGTTTAATTACTTAGTCTTATTGTAGTTCATTAAAGGAAAACTGTAATTGATGTAACTTCTTTCTAAGAGCATTTTCTAACTTGCAACGGACTATGGGGCACTTCTTCCTATCTTTCCATCCACGGTTCTTTCATTGTTGCTGCTCTGTGCTATTGTGCATGTAGGTACACTTAAGCACATGTATGTATGTACGTACATAAGTATGTATTTCTTCCTATCTGTAAATGTCCTAGAGGCAAGAAGACTTAATCAATGTATCACATCTTCACAGGTTAGCAAATAGATATCCACTAAATGTTAATGAACAAATGGATGGATGGATGGATGGATGGATGGATGGATGGATGGATGGATGGATAGATGGATGGATGGACAGATGGATGGAGCAACAAAGTAATAAGCCTTATCCACGGGCCAAGATGCGATATTCACCCATGGTCACAAGATGGCATTATGGCTCTCCACAGACTACACCACACCAAGACTGCCAGGTGCAAAAACAGAAATAGTCTGTCAAACTAGGATTATCTCAAGATTTGGAGAGTCCCAATTGTTCCAAGATATTAATAAAGATACATGTACTCCTTACAAGTCTTGGTGGTACTATCTTGAGCAGTGAATGCTTAAATATTTTTTCTCTTAACTTCTTATAACTGTTTTTACAATTCTGCATACATATGCCTCATACTCTACACAACTACTTTGAAGACAACATCATGCAATACAAGAAATACTGTTAAACTCATATATTTGTTTAGTGATATTCTATATTATTTTTATTATCATTATTTTATATTCTTTTTTAAAATTATTTACTCAAAGATCACAAGACTAAATAGAAAATCTGTAATATTTTTCTCCCTTTAAAAGAGAGAGAACTACACCCATATAATTCTAATCTTAAGGGACTAAAAGGGAAGAGAATCATTTTTTATAGAAAATTGTTTAGCTCCTCAGATTTTCTAGCAATAGAAGAAGGCATAGTCTTGACTACATCTTTTTAAAAATTAAGCTATACTATTCACTTCCTATGATGGAAACAGAGCTTATCATTGTGGCTTTGAGAATTTCTTGTTTAGGTGCCACCGCTCTACTCTCTGGCCCACAGAGATGCCTCACGTGGAGAATGCCAGAACTTGTTGTGAAGGATACTTTAGACAATAGCAACAAGCAACAAGATTCTAGGAACTGAAAATACAGAAGAAGCTTCTTTAATTATGATATAAATAATAGAAAAGAAGGATCTGATGACAGGAGTAGAAAGCATCTAAAAGATACTTTTATAAAGAATTAGTACAGAACTGCCTAGACCACAGAGGGGAATATCTTACAGAAAAATTAAGATGGCACTACCATTATAATATGATGAAATATAATTCTAAATCTCATAATTCAAAATTTTAGTCCTTCACACACAAACTAGACATATATTTTAAACTGTATACAATATATTTTCAAACATTTTTGTAAAAAAATTAAATATTCTTCACTAAACACTACATTTGAACATCTATCGCATATGTCAATGTGAATAAGCTGCAACCTCTGCCTTATGACAGAGTACAATATTGTAGATGTGTTGGTCAAAGGAAAACTATTGGGAAAACCAAAAAAGCCCATTTAGAGATACAACTTTGCACTTAAACTTGTGTGTGACACCTCACAATATAATTAAATCACATCCTTATGGCCTGACAAACTGTTTTTCCTTTCTAGTTTTCCCAGGTCAAAAAGCAGTGACTGGTTGTTGCACACCTGCTTCACCCCATTATCGATACTGTGAAAATGCACAATTTAATAATATAATAATTTGTGGTCAAATATAGTCCTTATAGTCACTTATTCTGACTTAATAAATACTGTACTTAAATATGTACTTTAATCATTTTAAGACTCAGATATTTCAATCTGTTTTTCATGACATAAAAAGTTAAATAAATACATTAACCCTAACAAAGTTTTGTTTTTGACTAAAGTTAGCCACTAAAGAAACAAACACATTAAGGCCAAAATGATGTTCTACATACAGTTTAAGGGATATAAATCTCATCAAATTTGTTACAGATTAAGCTCATCCTGCAGAAGATAACTGTGCAGTGAAAACAACATTATACACATCAGTTTTAACAAAATCCCCAAAGATGCTGTATGTTGAGACCAGGACTCTCCCACACACAGGAAGAGACCAAGGAGGTCACTGGGGTCTGCCATCATGATGGCCAAGACCCGACTGAATTCAGAGTTCTGAGCACTGTTTCTAATGCTAATGACTTCTCCATCATTACTCCCAAAACATTTTAACACTGCTCTTCAGAGTGGCTTTAGGCTGAAATTTTTACTTAAATCAATAACTTGACAACTCTTGTATCAGAAGCAACCCCCTTTGCCAGTACTTGGTATTTGGTGTGCTGTAGAAGAAGCAAAGGAACATGAGCCTTAGGGTCAATAAAATTACCAAAAGTATGTCTTAACAGATACCACAACTTCTGTTCAATTTTATTAACCAAAAACTAAAGTTTCATTTTTCCATCCATGCATTTAGTTATCTAAATGGCTGCACATTAAGCACAAAATTTAAAGACTTATTTTTACCAAGTTTAAATTTTTGCCACCTATGGAAAGAACTACTCTGACACTCATGTGATGTATGCCTCAATAGTTAATATTAATCTAAAACTAAAGTTTCTGTGATTTCTTCCATATTTATAAATAAGTAAGTTTTCTTGCTTAAGAAACCCAGATTTATTTGAAGTGCCTGGTGAAGCCGGCTTACCAGCAATAGTCCAGCAGGTGCGGAGGAAGCACTGGGATGTATATATGTTGCCAGTACATTGGATAGAGCAGAGCAGCCGATCCATGGAGACAGGCAGTTAACTAGAATTTGTAAAAGGACAACAATAATAAGTAGCTGCTGACCCTCCAAACAAAGAGCCATGTTCAAGGTAGCAAAGATGAATGATAATCACAGAACAATTTACACAATGGCACAGCTCACGTTGTCTTTACCAATTCTACTTGTAAAAAGTCTTATGTCTCAGAGGCCCCTCTGAAAATACATGAACAGCAAAAGTAGCTTCTTGGGAATATGTATATAGCTATAACCACCTGAAAATATAGTTTGGGGTTGAAATTCAGGATATACATAAAAGTAAAGCTGAAAAATTAGGCGAGCATCTTAGAAAATACTGTAAGAAATTACAATCTGTGCAGTACAGTTTGCGCATCACTCCGATTAATACAACACGATTAAATATGGAAAGGAAGAGTGGCTGAAAGCTCCTGAGGGATATCATTAGGGCAAATTGCCAAAGAATGAAACATGAGCCAGTCAGCAGAGTGGAAGCTGCAATAATATCAGGGGACTTGAATATTCGACAGTTGGAGCTTCAGTAATGTGTGAACCGCGGGTTGTGCTATCAAGAGACTCTGCTCGCTGACACATAGAATGTCACTATTGACCAGCGAACTGCCCAAGCTTGACAGCTGTACTACAGGAAGCCAAGTATATCATAATTTCATATTTAAACTGTTCATTCCAGATTAACATTTTGTTTCCTAGCTTTATATCACAACAGCTGCAATTACATTGTTGCTATTTTAAAGGTAATTGCCATCTTAATTGTTTTGTTTGGCAAGCAGTTAATTAAACATTTTTAATGCTGAACAAAGGGATATCACATTTATTCCTCCTGACCCGCATCAACATTTTTTCATGTGACTTTCTTTCCAATTTTAAATTACATTTCTATACATGAAAAGTAGTTATTTACTGTTTAAAATAGTACTTAAATTAACATTCATTTTCATCCTTTTTAGGGTTTACTCTCACTTTTCATGTTTGCCATTTATTTATTTATTTTCATGTTTGCCATCTAAATAATTTCATTCAAATTGAAAAATCAGAATTATAAAAAGTATCTGAAAATGAACTACAGATTTTCTGAAGCCCGTTATTATCTCTATTATATCACAAAGACACTGAAACATACAAATGATGTAACAATTTAAGTCCAAGGAATAACTGTATTACAAAGCAATCCAAATCTTATTAATAGCAACACTTGTCTATGCTTAAGTGCAAAAGAGATCCATGAGAGAAACCAAAAAAATTTGATCTGAAACAAAAAACATATTTTTGTAAATATATTCATCTTTATAATATAATACACATTCTATTTTTTCTAGGGAGATTTTGCCTAATTTTATATGGAAAACAATTTATCTTCATTCCATATGCAATGCTACCATTGGCAGGTTTCAGTATTTTACATTTTTAAGCTTTATTACTTTATCACAGCAGTCTTTCAACAAATACTATTTCAAAATTCCTTAATTGGAGTATACAATATGCCACTAGGAGGCATTCAAATACTTCTATTTAACAATTACAGACCATGGATTTACTTACTTTATGAAGCTGAACTAGAGGGAAAGAAACTAGAGTAGATCTAACTCATTGTGTCAAACTCTCCAAGAGCTTCCAGACTCTCCCTGGTTGTGAATTAGGCATCTTTAAAACTATAGTAACTCTTTCCATCCCGAACTGCAGCCTAGGGGGCTAAGAAAGCTTACATAGCTTTCAAAGCAGCTAATTATTCAATTTCTCCATCGGCATACATATAACTTCTAAAGTAACTTGTTTAAAGCCTGTTTTTCTTTTATAAAAAGGGGGGGTGGTGTTTATTATACAGAATATAGTAACAGTGAAGCAAAAAGAAAAATAGATTCTCTGAATGAGATGTTGCCAAGATCAGCTTATTTCATGGAGCACACTTGAATTCCAAAGCACTCTGCTACGTAGATACTCCTACTCACTTAATGGTCATCCTTAAATGAACTCACCCATTCATTATTTGCCAACAAGACATAACATTATCTGATAAATTTAATTGGGTTCTTGTAGGATGACTCCTGTGTGAGCTGAGTTACAAAATTTCTGCAACAGCCAGCATCTGGAGGGGGTTATCCCTGCTAAACAGCCAATCAGAAAAGAACAAATAATATGTGGGAACCTGGGAAGATTCAGTAACTGGATCCTGTAGTATCTCAAAATGGAGAAACTTAACAGTTGATGTCAGCAAGTGTGAGTTTAGTCACATACTAAAGGCACTGGACCTTTCAATCCCGGACTACCAGATCTAACAAAAACCACTACTGATAATAACTGCCATTAGTAATAACAGAAAACATTCATTTAATGCTTACCACGTGCCAGACACTATAGTGAGGATTTCAAGCCCCAGGACTAATCCACACAACATCTTATGAAGTAGAGCCTCGCATCATTATTCCCATTTTATACTCAATACACAGAGGCAACGTTAAACCAATTGACCATAACCATCTACCTTGTAGTCAGAAAAGCCAGGATACAAACTACAGGAGACTAGATGCAAAGTATAATCACTACTTTATACCTTCAGTGCACAAAGGTTTATAATCTCCATCATCATGAGACTGAATGATATCTACTTAGTAAATATTTTACACCAATTGTATAAAAATGTATCTTTAACTCAACAGTTAAATATACAAGAGCAGTTGACCCTTGTATGAAAAATTTAGCTATCTACAGTAGAGATCGAATTTATACAGCTCTCCAGGCATCTCAATCTCCAAATTCAGCAGGACACCAATAAGAGAGACTCAGGAAAATTTTAAGGAATAAGATCACTGATAAAGCTTCAACACATCATCCCTCAACCTGAACCTGCATGTACCATTAAGTTGGAAACCAAACCAAATTCTCTTTTGTGATATGCAATTTTCATAATGACTACATTCATCACAGAGAATTAGTACAAGAATATAACATATTTTAATTGTTTTCCTCTTTCCTCCATGCCCTTTTATTTTGACAGCATCGCACTCACTATTTAATTATATGACCTTTTAAGTTATATATATATATATATATATATATATATATATATATATATCTCCAAACTAATAGGCCATGAAAACACAAACACATAAAACAACTGCACTAAGCCAAGATACACTTTCAAGTGCAATGCCACACTCCATTGCATTAATTTTTTCCTCTTTCTTTTCCTATTATTGATTTGTTTCTTGTTTTAATGTTAAAATATGTTATTAGAAGACCCAATCATAATAAAACTAAGCAATGTGTCAAGCAATTAAGCAGACATGTATTTCTAGGATGGAAAATTACATTGGTCAGATTACCCTGAGCACAGCATAAAAATAATCCATCTAGTATAATGGAAAACACAAAAGTTCTACTTGGCAGTTTACAGGTAAAGATCTCATATAGCCCAAGTATTCTATTTTCTGCATAACTTAGCCAGATTGCAACTTATTACTTACTTTCACCCAGAATTCTATGAGTCACTCAGGGCTACCATCACATTGTCTAAAAATGTATTTATTCATCAAATCATAATACATGCATATGATAAAAATTCAGTGAATATCTATTTTTTATTATAGTAAAAAGACACATTGCTATTAGTCCTCCTCAAAACAATTCCGAAGACTTTTTTTCATGGTTATTTTGATTTTGGGGAAGAGTCATGTGGTGCCATATCTGGTGAACAAAAAAGACAAGGACACACCCCCGCTTTTGATAGAAACTACCATAAATGTTTGGGGTCTGTTCAGGACATCCAGGCAGCCACAGCAGCACAACTAAAGACTCATAAAAGTTTCCAGAAAAATAGTTTCCAGAATTGCTTCAAAAAATGGCAAGAACAATATTTTAAAAGTGAGATCGAGAATTTTGAGGGGGCAATTTCAATGTGCCATCTACTGTAATTTTTTAAAAATTTAAGTGTGTGCTGTAAATTTGATCAGCCTGTGGATATGTGTGGATACATAATCTAATATGTACAGTATAGAAAACTCTGCTATATAATACATACCAGAGATGTTATTCAACTTTTAACTGAAATAACAATTGAGAAATATAAGGACCACAAATTATTACAAGTAAAACAACTGGAAGATTAAACTACTAGAGATAGAAATACAATATTGAGTTTTTCTACCAGTGAACATGGAATATCTGTTTATTTAGTTCTTTGATCTCTTTCATAAGGATTTTATAGTTTTCTCTGCATTTATCTTGGACATATTTTGTTAGATTATACTTAAGAAGAATTGTATAATGCACGTCAGTGCATCTTGACTTGATCTTATATACTCAATGCCGTCTCCATCAAAATTTCAGCAAGTTATTTGGTAGCTATCAACAAAATAGTTCTAACATTTATATAGAAATGCAAAAACCTAGAATAGCCAACACAATTTGAAGGAGAATAAAGTCAGAGGACAGACACTGACTTCAAAACTTTCTGTAAATGGACTGTAACTAAGACAGTGTATGAACTGGCCAAAAAATATATGAAAAAACTGTTCATCATCTCTGGCCATTAGAGAAATACAATTAAAACTGAGATTCTATCTTTCTTCTGGAAAAATGGCTGTCATTAACAAAGCAAATAATAACAAATGCCCATGAGACTGCAAGGAAAAAGGAACCCTTCTATAGTGTTGGTGGGCATGTAAATTAGTACAAACATTATGGAAATCATTATAGAGATTACTCAAATAACAAACTAGAAATTCCATTTGACTTGGCTATTCCCTTTCTAGGTATCTTCCCAAAAGAGTTAAAGACATCATATTACAGTGATACATTTATACTCATGTTTATAGTAACGCAGTTCATAATAGCTAAATCTTGGAAGCTGCCTGTATGTCCATCAACAGATGAAGGCATAAACAAAGTATGATATTTTACATATAAGGGAGTATTACTCTGACATAAAGAGGATAGGCTTGAATATCTGGTAAGAAAACAGATGCACCTTGAGACCACAGCATTAAGCGAAATAAATCAGATACAACGT